TAAAAAAAATTGCTTATGAGCACATTTGAATAATGTTAAAAACATTTGAACAAAGAATGAATAAAAGATCAAACAATGATAAAAATCAAGGCTGTGCAAAAGACCATTTCCTCTAGTTACGAGCTGCTTACATGAGAAATACCAAAACGTATTGATTCTTTGATAAAAATAAAAATGTATAGCTCACGACTATAGTCGAACGAAATTGAATATCGAGACGAGGACATACGTCGACATTGTCGATGGCACTAAAGAATAACACAAAAAGGAACAAATGAAAGATGCTTACAGATGCAAAAGACGCAAAGAAAAGTTACAGCAATTTATGCTCCAGAATTATGCGGTATGTATAACAATAGATTGCAACATTAAAATAGTAGAAAACGCAGAAACGGTGAAACGATGCGTGAAAAGAAGAATTCGTTATTATTCTTACACCGACGATACTAGTTATAGACTTAATTACCATGACGATTATCTCGAGTTTCGCTTTTTTCTTGCCACGCCAAGAGATCTTCACCGAACTGCTCAACAAGACAGGAAATGCTGATCGAAAACGATGTTCGGTCAGCGATTACGTAACGGTGTTAAAATAATTAGTGCGTATTACATAGTGCAACGTTGCACTCATAATTAGCGGCCACCTCGTACACGGAGCAGCCAGAACGAAACGGGAATAATCTCGATCGGGAATAATAATAAGTTGGCAATCTATGAGTCTTCACTCATATCGTATCGTTCCCTGAAAAACTTACTCGTACTCGTCTATCTCGATGCCTTCGAGAGCAAAGTCGTAGAAACCGCATTCCCGTAAGGCGAAGGGAGGCGCAGATATCGATTCTGCTAGAGCACGAAGAACACGCGTGAAACTGCGCCACGTCTCCCCGGTGGCTACGTACTTATCAATAGAACGGGACGATTTATTAAATGGAGCAGAGCTAGAGCCTTCCCTTTGCCGATGTTTCAGTGTCGCACAAATGCCGACCAATTTAAAACGTTCTGCATCGTTTCCTGTTTATAACATCCCCCACGTGGCCGTAGCGAACCGGCGAGGAAACGTCACCGAGACCAAGGACACCGACCATTTGTCGTCCTCGATATCACGATATATCCAGGCTACACAGAAGAATGCCAAAAAATTAACCGTGAATTTCAACCCAAAGGTTGAATCTCGCGTTTCAAAGGAAATACACAACGTGAAACGAAGATATCGCTCGTCAATGGGACTGAATGAAAAGCATCTATTTACATGTCAATACGAAAGGACGGATTATCGGTAATTCTGGTTAATAGCATATACATTCTCGCGTATATTATACATGGTGCGTATACGTATAATATACGACATCATTCGAAGCTAAAGTGGAACAAGACGAGACGATCATTTGCAGCACGCATGCTGCACGGACCCTCGAAAGTCGATAATTTGCCCGTTTAAGGATGCGCCCGATGTATACGGAATCGGAGGGAGAAGAGAGAAAGAGAGAGAGAGAGAGAGAAAAAAGAAGAACGGCACCACAGCAACGGGATTAAAACAGGGAGAAAAGTTGTTTTAGCGGTTACATCGTGCCCACGTTGAAAACGCGGCTTCTGACCACGCCAAAACAATGATGTACCGTTATCGAACGCGGTTCTACGCCACCACGAATAAATAAATGCAACCTACTTGAGTATCCTCAGTCATCTGTTGCATCCTGCGACCTGGCTTATTTATACAAGGGGAAACCTCGAAACGTGAAAACATGGGACGAAGCCTGATAATTTTTTAAGCAGATGGAAGATTCTCTCATTGTGTGGTCGAGTCGTGTTCGAAACTGCGCCTGATGCAATGATAAATATAATGTTAATAGAAAATTTGAAAGACGTTCGACACCGTGTTGTTTTTGATATTACTAGCACGTACCAAGCGCACGAACGGGACGGCAAATAGAGCAGATCAGCGAAGAATATCTATCGAGGCTTCGCTTATTGACGCCACATCATCGCGTGGAAAGTCACGTTTATGTTTTAATACGTGCCTCGTACAACGCTACTGACATTCATGCAATCGTTAACGGGGTTCGATGGTAATTCCGTATTATGATTTAATTGTGTATAATTCTGCATTCGTTATCGTTAATTAAGAAGAACAAATTTGACTAATCGAATCGTTGGACCATGATTTAAGCTTAGACGTTTTATTTGCTCATTAAGTGTTCCCTGCACTGGTTGGTAGAGGTCGTAGATAAATTAGAAAAATTACAAAAACGTTGTATAGAGTATTTTATTTAATGATAGATATCTTTAAATGGATAAAATTGAATATTCTGATCATCTTCCTCTAAACCGGAAAAAGATAATTTACATGGTTATTAACTAGGTTGTTAACAAAATTGAGAACACTGCCAATTCATAAACTCAGCGACCTTATTATCAAACTATTTGTTCGCGGTATGTAGATTTTTCCTGCCTAATATACGAATGTAATATACTTGATTGAATATATTCGATACTATACTTCATGCATATAAACATTTTTTGAAGATTTGAGAACAATGATCGCATTGAAATAATTTGATTTCTAATAAATATAATGAAAAATTCGTGCATTCATAGATAAACGAAATAACCTCTAAAATTTTGAATATATCTAATAATAATATTTAAAACATGCAAAAATATGTATTGAAAAGATAATTTTAGTCGTTTCATATATGAGAGAAATATGAATTTAAATTTATAATTGGCAACAAATATTTTAATTTGAGTATTATTACAAAATTTTAAATAACATAAAAAGGTAATAACAATAAGATAGAATAATGATCATTATAATCAAATCAACCATATAAAAGTAAAAAATATGATTCGTTATAAAAGCTCATTGAAACGAGGTAAAATACTAAGCTAGAATATTGATCCGTTCTTTTGCAGAAGATCGTTATCATCACCATGTTTCTAGAATATTGCTGGAAACGAATAACGAAAAAGAAGTAGCCGAATGGATTAAACGAAAAAATGTAACGAGGAATCAGACAATCACGCGATGTCTAGGTGCGCCACATCTTACGATTCATGCCGAAATGCCCGATATCCTTAATATTTACCAAGATGTCTGCACGCCAGGACTGATCCATATTAAAAAAAGGCGCAGCTGAGAAAAAACGTTCACGAGAAAATTCTAATAAAGACGCATGGGAACTGGTTCGATGCGCAACGAGGCACACCGGTGCAAGACTTGACGCATAATACCGCGACGTATGTAACAGTTAATCGCATTATGTAGCAACGAGCAGAAATCACGATTGATCACTTTGAGATGCTAATCGTGTCGGTTCTAGCTTGTGGCCCGCATGGTTTATAACTAAAAATATTCTCACGAAGAAAGGAATTATCCATTGAAAGATTCAAAAAACAACGGTCGGTATATGGAAATCAGTAAATGGCCGGCCGATGAACGATAATTACGTATCGAGCATGATTGGTTCGCTAATCTACAAATACATATACATTCACGAATGACAATATTAAACACGTATTGCACTGGTAAATATACGCTAATCAAAGAAACAAAGATTACGAATTAAACGAATGGTTCTTATTTCATACGACTGTTGAATTGTCTACAAATTGTCTTACGCATCACCACGTGTTACTGATCACGATAATTTTCCCAATATCAAAACAAAACCTAAAAATGTCGAACATGCGCATAATTATTGTACGTTCTTTTATCAAAAGTTTTAGACAAGAAAATTTGCAAATTGACCACATAATTTAAACTGATGATATTCTTATAATAAATATCGAAGGGCAAATTCCACGAGGCACAACGTAACATCAGATAGCAATCGATCATTGAGATATTCTTGCCAAAAGAAAAATTCATCGTGATATTGAATGATTATTACTAGTCGATTATAAATCGAACACATTGCACTTTTTAAATCATTGCAACGTTTGAATCCCATAACCGACGTTCGAAACCTAACCCTTTAACAACACGCAACACTATGCCAACAATATAGGTCTTATAGACAAATCAGCCGGCAATAAATTCGCAGTAAGAGATAACGGTAATCTCGACTGAGATTACTTCAACGACGGTGCGAATTGCAAGGCCGTCAGCGTATGACCTTAATGAGTAATGAGCATAGCGCTTAGGCGGACACACAAGAACGAGCACGGTATTCTGTCTGCTCGCATGTACCACACACTATACGATATCGTGTAACCGAATGTGAACATAGCCTGTCAAAAGATAGAATGTTTGGCACTGGACAAAAGTGATGTCGCATTGACAGATATATTCCTGTCAACATAACCTAAATTAACTAATCGCGAATATTACAAATATTGCGAGAAATTCAAAAAACAGACACGATTCGTTAGTATATTCACGTCGATTTTCGCGATCATTCCTCCTGAACACCGTGCGTGCAGATGGCGTGATTTTTATAGCAACTACGGATCATATCGTTCGCCAAAGATTATCGACATATTCGTCGTGTATCGAGCTTTTATTCTAAACTGTGATCACGAAAAATAAATTGAACAATTGTAATAAATACCTCGCTTTTCGACGAGCTCCGAAATCTCCTCCTTGTTGTCGGCCATCTTAGCACCAGTCACTATTCACAATGCATGCTGGGTAAAAACAAACGAGCACTACCACGACACCACGATTGGTGGTTCAGCGCCACCTGTATGCCAAATTAGAAGTTAGCCACCCGATGACGTTGATCAGGGATGTATCACATCTAACATAGTAAAGATCCCAATACAAATCATATAAATAATGTTTAATCGAGAAATAAAACAAACTATTATAAATCTATTATTCTGGTAATTCTTATAATAAAATTAACATCAATCTTAATTATAATCTTAAAATGAATAAAATGTATTAATAAACTTTCAACAAAAAGATACATGAAAAATTGTTCACAAATATGGACACCTAAATTTCGTTTGACATACTTTCATTAAGCCGTTACTGGCACATATCACTAGCTCTTCAACTACTTATTTCCGTTACATCGGCTTTCCTGGCGGTAGTCTTCATTCAGTTGTCCAGAAGATTTTGAGGTGTAATTTACAATAAATTTGCAATATGAGTATCAGTGATGTTGTAATTATATCGGCAGTTAGAACACCCATAGGTATCATTTTGCAATTTGTAAATTTAAATTGTGTACTAATTGAAAATAATATCTATTTTATATTATACTATATTATTAATTCAGTTTAAAAATAATTTTATAAATAATTACATATTTGATTAACTATTTTTTATTTAATATAATAATGATGTCTTTTATTAAAAAATTTTAAATTTGATATGTTTTTATTCTAGTTTAATTATATTTTAACAAATTAATTTTTAATTTAATTTTATACAATCATGCAATTCATATTCCTAACTTATGTCTTTAGTTTAAATATTTGAAATAATTATATATTATACTTAAAATAAATATATATAAATACTTAAAATAAATATATTATACTAATATTATTGATTTTTATAATTATTTTTATTTATTTATATCATTTTTTTAATAAACTTTAAATATATTTTACTGTATTATTGTATTGTATTACTATATTATCTATATTATTTTATTTATTTAGATATATTATTTTTTGCTAATTTCTATATCATATATATTATATTAATTTCTATATATCTCTTTCTCATATATAATTCTATATATATTTCAATATCATATATATTATATAAAATTTAAAAAATTTTTTTCTCTACAATGAATTTCAAGTTTTATAAAATATTTTATTAATTTTAGGATCTTTCTGTGGTTCCTTATCA